ATATTGACATGATCATTTTTAAAAAAGTTATGGCAATTTTAAGTAAAAAAAATTGAAAAAATATCGAAAATTAGCGATTTTTAAATTCGTAATTTTTTGGGGGATTTCCCCCGTTTACGGGGAACGAGGGAATTTTTTTCAATTTTTGAGGGTAATGTCTTCGACTAGATACGATTTGTGATCTTTTGACATATTGTTCATCAAAATCGGTCCAGCGAGAGCTGAGATTGAGCGTTCACAGACACAAAAAAAAATTAAAAAATTAAAAAATTAAAAAATAAAAAAACACATCATAGTAAAATTAATATCTTCTCAGCTTCGCATCGAATCTAAAAAAATGCTACGATGCAAATTTTTAGATTGTGCTTAATTTAAAAAAATTGGTGGATTATTCCAAAAGTTACATGATCTGCTAGTTCCTTATTAATATTCTTATTAAGATAAAGTATGTCGAATGAAAAAGGGATTATTAAAAAATATTATTTCTTATAAAAAAATAATGTTGATCCATACACTTTTAAATATGTCATAGCATTATAAAGTTAAAAATGTAAAAAATAAAATCGAAAATTTTCACATAATAATAGCATTTGGTAGCCATTTTCACCGTGAAGATAAAATAAAGTCCGAAATTTTTTACCATAATAAAGTATATTACATTAACTTTAATTTAAGATATATATAAAAGTGTCAGACCTTCCGGAACATTTTCAAATATCAAGTTGAAAAACTTAATTTTTTTTGAAAAAGTTGTCTTTTTAAATCTCTCCCTGTGGGCAGGTAAAGGGTCAGATATAAAAAAAATATATACCAAATGATAGGTAATGATATCGTGCATCTATACAAAAAAAATTATATTGATCCATACATCTTTCAAAAAGTTATAGCATATTAAAGTTAAAAATATAAAAAAGAATTTTTTTACAAAAATCGTATATTTTTTATAAACTTTGATGTTTGTTTTCACCATGAAGATAAAATAATGTCCGAAATTTTTTTTTTGCATAATAAAGAACATTGCATTAGCTTATGAAAAAAATATACCAAATAAAAGGTAATGATATTATGCATCTATATAAAAAAGAATTATATTGATATGTTTATTTTTGAAAAAGTTATGGCACTTTTAAGTAAAAAAAATTGAAAAAATTTCGAAAATTAGCGATTTTTAAATTTGTAATTTTTTTGGAGGTTTCCCCCTTTTACGGGGAACGAGGGAATTTTTTTCAATTTTTAAGGGTAANCCCCCATTTACGGGGAACGAGGGAATTTTTTTCAATTTTTGAGGATAATGTCTTCGACTAGATAAGATTTGTGATCTTTTGACGTATCATTGAAAGAAATCGGTTTGGTGAGAGCTGAGAAAAAGTGGTAACAGACACAAAAAAAAAAAAAAAAACACTTCTTAGTAAAACCAATACCTTCTCAGCTTCGCATCGAAGCTAAAA